GTAGTTTTAGTAGAGACGGGGTTTCACCATGTTGACCAGGATGGTCTCGATCTCTTGACCTTGTGATCCACCTGCCTCGGCCTCCCAAAGTGCTGGGATTACAGTCTTGAGCCACCGCGCCCGGCCGAAATAACCATGTTTGACTATTGGTTGCTATATTGGACAACACAGCTATATGCATATGGATGCAGGTGTTCCAGGTAGTATAACTTGTTTGTAGTTAAATATAAATGTTGTATTTTGCAATTAGGCCAAATTTGAGTTTCATCACGGTGACTATGAAAAACAGTTTCTGCATGTACTGAGCCGAAAGGACAAGACTGGAATTGTTGTCAACAATCCTAACCAGTCAGTGTTTCTCTTCATTGACAGACAGCACTTGCAGGTAAGCTTTTTTTCATTTTTTTAAAACCACACAGGCACATTCAAAAAATTTGTTTGGAAACTTTGTTATACAAGTTACTTATTTCTGTTTTGTCCCCAAAATACTGCATTATTTTTGAAGTTACTTAAAAAACAAAAAATAGGCTGAGCATGGTGCCTCACGCCGGTAATCCCGGCACTTTGGAAAGCTGAAGTGGACATAGTGCTTGAGCTCAGGAATTCCAGACCAGCCTGGGCAACATGGAGAAACCCCATCTCTACAGAAAATATAAAAACTAACCAAGCATGGTGGCATGTGCCTGTAGTCTAGTCCTAGCTACTCGGGAAGCTGAAGTGGGAGGATTGCTTGAGCTTAGGAGGCTACATACAGTGAGCTGAGATCTTGTCACTGCATTCTAGCTTGAGTGACAGAAAAAGCCCCTGTCTCAAATAAAAATAATTTTTAAAAAAGTATTTCCTAGGCCTTACTGTAGAACAGTGGTTCCCAAATTTTGCCACACATTACAGCTACCTGGAAAGCTTATTTTTTTTTTTAAACAAAAGGAAAAAACCCACCTCCTGAGAAGCTTTTAAAAGTCATTCCAGTGAACAGTAGAGAACAGTTGCCCTAAAGCGTTTCTACCAGATGTGTGGGTAACAGATGAACATCACTTGGGAACTTGTTAAAAATATAGACTCTCAGACCCTAACTATTCAGAATCAGTACTTTTAAACAGAACCCTCAGGTGATTTGAAATACATTGTATTTCCACACTGCCCTGGACTTTTTAACTGTGGAAGGATAAGAGACATATATTTAAAAGATCCGCATGTATTTTGAATAAGTACTTCCATTTGGGCGCAGTGGCTCACGCTTGTAATCCTAGCATTTTGGGAGGCTGATGGGGAGGACTGCTTGAGCCCAAGAGTTCAAGACCAGCCTGGGCAACAGAGTGAGAACTCATCTCTACAGAAAAAGAAATCAGCCAGACATTGTGGCATGCTGCTGTGGTTCTAGCTACTCTGGAGGCTGAGGCAGGGGAGGATCGCTTGAACCCAGTAGTTCAAAGTTGCAGTGAGCCATGAGAGCACCAGCACACTCCTGCCTGAGTGACACCGTTAAGACCCCATCTCAAACACACACACACACCCCTCCCCACCAACTGCCAGCAGCAAATAAGCACTTCCCATTTAAGCAGCAATTGCAAGTATTGCAATTTAATTTTTAGATGCAGCCACTTGTGTGTGATCTTGGACAGGTAACTTCTGTGAGCGTGTTGCTTCTGTGAAATTGGTATTTACATTTGTGGACTTTGACATCTTCAAAGTCAGAGTCCTTATTTTGCCTTTAGAGATGCTAGATAGTGAAGTAAAGATGAACTTTGTAGTTAAATTGGGTGTTCAAATGGTAACTACTTTTTAAAAATAAGAGTTTTGATTTAGCTGGTAATACTTTGGGTTTCTTTTAGTCCCTAAACTGAGTATATGCTTAAATCATTCTTTTCTTTTTTGAGAGAAGGTCTCACTCTGTCACCAGGCTGGAGTGCACTGTGATCATGGCTCACCACAGCCTTGACCTCCTCAGCACAGGTGATCCACCTCAGCCTACCAAGTGGCTGGAGTACAGGCGTGTGCCACCACATCCAGCTAATTTTTGTATCTTTTGTAGAGATGGGTTTTTGTCATGTTGCCCAGAATGGTCTTGAACTCCTGGGCTTAAGTGATCCTCGTGTCTCAGCCTCCCGAAGTGCTGGGATTACAGGTCTGAGCCACCACCCCTAGCCTTAAATTTTTTACCTGTTCTTCATCCTTTTACTAGCTTCTGTTCTTACCACATCTGCTTTATCTTCCTGTATATAAAAATGACTTTAAACTTGTACTCAAATCTGTCCCCATGAAATGTCTTTAATTTTTTATAGCAAGTTATCGCTGGTTTACTTCCCTAATTTTTGGGGGGGAGGGGCGGGGGGTGAGACGGAGTCTTGCTGTCTTGCGTAGGCTCGAGTGCAGTGGCCTAATCTCGGCTCAGTGCAACCTACACCTCCTGGGTTCAAGCGACTGCCTCAGCCTCCCAGGTAGCTGGGATTACAGGTGCCCACCACTACAACCGGCTAATTTTTGTATATTTAGTAGAGACAGGGTTTCACAATTTTGGCCAGGCTGGTCTTGAACTCCTGACTTTGTGATTCATCCACCTTGGCCTCCCAAAGTGCTGGGATTACAGGCATAAGCCACTGTGCCTGGCCTACCTCCCTAACTTTTTCTCTTTTAATTATGCATAAATTCTCTTAACTGTTTTTCCTGTATCTTACAGGGGAAGGTTTGTGGGAGATTGACTTCATGTGACAGTTATGCTAAAGTCTTATATATTAAAAATATTAAAATGTTTCCCCTTCTAGACTCCAAAAAACAAAGCTACAATCTTCAAGTTATGCAGCATCTGCCTCTACCTGCCACAGGAACAGCTCACCCACTGGGCAGTTGGCACCATAGAGGATCACCTCCGTCCTTACATGCCAGAGTAGAGTACTGACCAGCAAAATGGAGAAGATCAGAGAATGCAGCAGCATTTTTTTTCTTGTTTTCTTACCACTTTATTCTTTCAGAGTTTAAAGAAAATGGACTCATGCACAGAACACTATGCATTTTGAAACTTGTTCATCCTGGATTTTTTTAAATCATTTCTATCTCAGAACTTAAAAAAAAATTAGATGTCTTCTGCACAGACTGTGTGAAAGAAGATGCTTTGCATATTTGCTGCACTGCATCAGTATCTTACTAAAAATGTGAAATGAAAGGACTATATTGTACACTGAAATGCTTAAATGTATCTGAAAGCACAAGGTGATACTAGTTTGTATGGTCTTCCCATGTGTGCTGGTTTTTGCCTCTTTGACATCTGTCATCAGTATTTAGAGGGTGAGAAGTGAATGTAACAGGTATAAATAACATTTTTAAAAACATAATAGCTTTGCTATAATCACAGTTGTTCCAGAGCACTGTCAGATTCAATTCTAATGACCAGAACTGGTTGTTTAAAAAAAGAAAACACAACCATGGGAAAGAAATCTTAAATGAAAAACGCATCTCATTGTAGGCTTTTGCCTCATATTTTACTGGGCCATGTTTGTTTCCTGGTACTCATAAATATATGTATTTTTTTTTTTTTTTCCAGATCTCTTTCCCCAAGTTGCTATTGTAAGAGTATTCTGCTGTGTGTGGATGCAGTTATACACATTAAAGCAGATCTGGAGTCTGAAGTAGCTATAAAGCAGCTATAAAACAAATACATTCATAGCTGCAGAAACCATGATAGGTAGAAGACTTTCCTTTTTGGTTTGGTTTTGTTTTTTGGTTTTACAGAGAAGAGATTTTTATTACGAAGAAAATTCCAGTGAATTGTGCAGAAATGGTTTCTACACCCTCCGAAAGAAAAACTTACAAGGGTGTTTTGGGAGTAGAAAAAGGTTATAAAGTTGGAATCTTAAATTGTAAAATTAACCATTGAGTGTCAAAGTTCTAAAAGCAGAACTCATTTTGTGCAATGAACATAAGGAAAGACTACTGTATAGGTTTTTTTTTTTTTTTTTTTTTTTTTTTTATTCTTTTAAATGAAGAAAAGCTTTGCTTAAAGGTTGCATACTTTTATTGGACTAAATCTGAATGATCCTACTCCTTTGGAGTAAAACTAGTGCTTACCAGTTTCCGATTGTATTTAGCTTCTGGTTGGAATTCAAAAAAAAAAAAAAAAAAAGCCTTAAAAAAATAGGTGAAAATTCCCTGACTATTCAGGTGAATATACACAAAGTTTGAAGTGTTAACTTTTTTTTTCCCATTTCATTGATGTTACTGGTCACCCTAGAGGATTATTTCATCTGGTAGTCTGGGGCTAATCAGTAAATTCGAAAGAAAAATACCTGACAATTGTGTGTGTAACTTCCACAAGAATAGGCATCAAGGATATATTGTCAGCTATCAACAGCAGCCTGGCCGTACACCGTGCTTCTTGGGAAAATGCCATTCTTAATTTCAAAATGCTTTCATGTGTCCTCTTAACATTTAAAAGTTAGAATTCATTTGAAATAACATTTTGAATGTTTGTTATAGCCAGGTACTATTGTAAGCTCTTCTTGTCTTAACCTCTCAACTTTGGGTGGAAATAGGTTAAGTAACTTGTTCAAGCTCAAATCATAAGTAGTGGAGGATTTAAAACCAGGCTGTCTGGCTCTAGGGCTTACGCTCTTAATTTACCGTACTGAATTACACTTATGCTCACCAAGTTAGGCATTTCAGCAGCCATTTAAGTTTTTATTTTTGAATAATTTAGAAAACTTGCCAGAGTAATATGAAAGCTCCTGTGTAATCTTTACCCTCTTTTATTATTTTGCCACATTTTTTTCATTTTCTCTACCTATATTTATACATGTTTCCTGAGCCATTTGAGTTTGTTGCATACTTTGTGCTTCCTTAACCTTTCCTTAGTACTCTGGCATATGTTCTAAGTACAAGAATATTTCATGTAACTATAGAAAAATTACCGAACTCAGGGAATGTGATACTCTTTTATCATCCATATTCGTTTTGTTGTCTCAATATCCTTCGTAGCATTTTTTTTTTTATCCCCCTGGAGATCACTGAATTCAGTTGTCGTCGGTTGTCTTTAATGTGGAAACAATTCCTTAGCCTTTCTGTGTTTCGTGACCTCTGCGTTTTTTGGAGTACAGGGCAATTTTTCTTGTAAATTGTTACTCATTTTGCATTTGAATTGTTTGTTCATGCTTAGATTGACATTATACCCTTCTCAAGCATACTCTCTTATCTTCTCTTCATTGATGTTATTTCTGAGCACCTGGTCAAAGTGTCCTGGTTTTGTCCTATACATGGTATTTATTACTAGCAATCTCTGGGAAACAATATGAAAATACCCTGCTTTATGAGGAGTTCCCTTGATTCTTTCCAGACTAAAACCAGTCTTTATGATGGTTACAAAATAGTGATTTTCCAAATCTACCCCTCTGTCCATTTTCAGCATTTGTTGTAAGAAAAAGGGTTCTATCGGCCGGGCGCGGTGGCTCACGCCTGTAATGCCAGCACTTTGGGAGGCCGAGGCGGGTGGATCACGAGGTCAAGAGATCGAGACCATGCTGGTCAACATGGTGAAACCCCGTCTCTACTAAAACTACAAAAAATTAGCTGGGCATGGTGGTGCATGCCTGTAGTCCCAGCTACTCGGGAGGCTGAGGCAGGAGAATTGCCTGAACCCAGGAGGCGGAGGTTGCAGTGAGCCGAGATCGCGCCATTGCACTCCAGCCTGGGTAACGAACGAAACTCCATCTCAAAAAAAAAAAGAAAAACGGTTCTATCTCTGCCATTGATTATCTACCTAAACACTATGGCCTCATTTTTTCCCCTCCAAATCATAATTTGCATGCCTTTATTATTTTGAGCATCTCCTTACTTTCAGGCATGAGACTGTAACTTTTCTGTCCCAGCCTCAAACCCTGGAATCAGCTGTTTGTTCTAGGAACTCAGGTTCCTTTAAGTGGGAAACTAGAAGTAAACTCCTGTATGCTTATTGCTACTATGGAGTCTGCTGCTTTCTGCCCTTTCAGTGGACAGATTAGTATGCAATCTAAGGTAGGGAAAGGATTTGCCTTTAACTGCTAATTTGATGAATTGACTTAAAGCTGCATCCTTTCTAGTCTTTAGTTGTGAAATGTTAAGATTCCCTGACATAGAAATCAAGCTGGGTGCAATGGCTCACATCTGTAAGCCCAGCACTTTGGGGGCCAGGCGGGAAGACTGCTTGAGCCTAGGAGTTTGAGACCGGCCTGGGCAAACAGACCTTTTATCTACAAAAATAAAGTTAGGTATGGTGGCACGTGTCTGTGGTTCCAGCTACTCAGGAGGCTGAGGTTGAGGCTACAATAAGCTGGGATTATACCACTGTACTCCAACTTGGGTGACAGACTCTGTCTTTAGAGTGCCACTGTCAGCTGTACTTGGAGACTTGAGAAATGAACTAGGTCTTTTCAATACTGTAGACTGGGAGATTTGAGATCTGCATGGTTTTATTCTCAGTAAAAGAAAAGGGGCTAGCAGCATGCTTTTTTCCCTTCCGCTCTACCGGACCATTTCCTGTATCACTAACTTGCTTTACCTCAAACTTTCTTGAGGTCTATTTTAGGCCATATGGCTCAATCTACTTTATTTTTCATGATGGGCTGTAGTTCATATGTTTTGAAGTTTCATATCTTAAAAAAGGAAATGTTTAAGTGTGGGGCTGCATTTGCTATGGTCTGAATGTGTGCCCCTTAAATTTGTATGTTAAAATCCCAACCCCCCCCAGGTGATATTAGCAGGTGCGGGTCTTTAGGAAGTTACTAGATAATGAGGGCAGAAACCTCAAAACTGGAATAAGTACCCTTACAAAAGAGAACCCACGCCAGGCACAGTGACTCTCACCAGTAATCCCAGCACTTTGGGGGGCTAAGGCGGGTGGATCACCTGAGGTCACGAGTTCGAGAGCAGTCTGGCCAACAGGGCAAAACCCCATCTCTTAAAAAAAAAGTTAGAAAAATTAGCTGGGTGTGGTAGCACAGGCCTGTAGTCCCAGCTACATGGGAGGCAGGAGAATCACTTGAACCCAGGAGTGAGCAGAGATCGTGCCACTGCACTCCATCCCGGGCAACAGGGCGAGACTCCGTTTAAAAAAAAAAAAAAAAGAACCTAGAGGGCTCATTTTCCCCTTCCACCAAGAGGCACCATCCATGAGCTAGGAAGCAGGCCCTCACCTGACAAGGTCTGCTGGGGCCTTGACGCAGGACATTCCAACCTCTAGAACCATGAAAAATTTCTGTTGTTCCTATAAGCTATCCAGTCTGTGATATTTTGCAATAGCAGCACAAACAGACTTAGAACCATTAATTTCTATTTCTCCTTGAGCTTAATACTGGACTTTGGTTTTAATCTTAGAATGGCCCTGCTAGCTTCTTTGCTTTGACTGTTTTCAAAACACTTTGAGCTAAGAATTTTTCACCCAGTTATCACACGATTAAAAACAATGCTTAAAATGAAGAAAAAAAAAAAAAAAAAAAAAAAAAGAAACCCCCCCCCTCCCCCACCCCTACTTGGTTTCCAGGTCCTTTTCTTTAAAAATAATATTTTCTAGCTACTTACGGTTTTGCTAGTTTATTTCAAGAATTAAAATTGAGTCAAATTTGCACTGGTCATTCATTATTGGGTTTCTTTAGGTAATTCTGCTGTTCTCTCAGTTTCCCAGGTGTTTTGTGTGTCTTCCTTGTGCTATTAATTTTCCTGTGGCCTTGCTGGTCAGATCCACAGAGGTAAATGCAAGTGTTTTTCCTTGCCTCAGAACATGTGCTGTAATCACTACAACTTCTCCTAATTTTGCAGGCGACATGTACCTTGAAAGGAAATGAATACAGTTAACAGCAAAGACTTTTTCAGGGGGAAAGTTGTGTGCATCTCACAACAGTGTGTACAAATAGTTTATAACAGTAGTATTGCTAAGTTTCTGTACTAGTCTTGCCCATTCCTTACCCACACAATTTTCTTTTCCCAAATATATGAGAAGTAGTTTTCTTGCCTCCCTTTTTTTCCCTTTGAGTTTCCCACTTCATATTTACTTGGGGATGGTGAAAGATTTCCTCCAGCTTTTATTTACTCTCCTTAACTTCTTAGGTGAAATTATCACTTGGTGTCTATATATTGTCCAATCCATATTTAGAATTTATTCGACTCTAAAATGACAAGATAACTATAAGGAATTGATACAATGCCCTTACAGTCTCGGTGATGTATTGTCTCCAAATATTTTTAAGAGATATATATCCTACCAACTTGTAATTATAAGTTGTCTTTAACTCAGCTGACTCTAGCTAATTAAAAAAAATTTTTTGGAGATGAGGATTGTTTAAAACAAATGTTAATGTTTTAAAGGGAAATAATTTCCTTATAGTTTATTTTTATGTTTCTGCTTTTTAGAAGGAAGCCTTTAGGCTGGGCGCAGTGGCTGACGCCTGTAATCCCAGCACTTTGGGAGGCCAAGGCAGGTGGATCACTTGAGTTCAGGAGTTCGAGACCACCCTGACCAACATAGTGAAACCCTAAAAAAAAAAAAAAAAGAAAAAGAAAAAAAATACATATAAAATAAATATATATATATAAAATAAAAAGGAAGCCTTTAAAAAGGATATGTATTTTTGCCAAATTCAAAATAAGGCTTCAGTGTTTATGGCTAGGAGGTATAAGAAAGGTGGATCTGGCCGGGCGCAGTGGCTCACACCTGTAATCCCAGCACTTTGGGAGGCCGAGGCAGGCAGATCACGTGAGGTCAGAAGTTCGAGACCAGTCTGGCCAACATATTGAAACGCTGTCTCTACTAAAAATATAAAAATTAGCAGGGCATGGTGGTGGGCGCCTGTAATCCCAGGTACTTAGGAGGCTGAGGCAGGAGAATCGTGTGAACACTGGAGGCAGAGGTTGCAGTGAGCCAAGATCCCACCACTGCACTCCAGCCTGCGCAACAGGGCAAATTCCATCTCAAAAAAAAAGGCAGATCTTATTGCTGGAAAGAACAGGCTTGTCTTGAATTCATGTACCTCAATTTAAAGAAATGAAAAATGGTATGTTTAGTAGTAGTTTGCCTAGTTTTTATTATCTCCCCAAATTTTGTCTTAGAAATCAAGAATTTTGGCTAACAGCCATTAACTTAAACTGAGGGAAGATAAGGAACCCTTTGTG